TTCAGCACAACAAAATACATCATAAATAGCACATTTTATCTCTGAAACAGACGACTTCTCAAAAATTGTAGACCAGTGTTATTTAACTAAATGATTTCCTAAAACGTAGTTTTATGTTGATTGTTTCTTATGCTAAGAATCATATGGTCATAGTATGTTTGCTTACATATTTCCAGATAGGTTAAACAATGTATCATTGAAAGTTACAAGTTAATGACAGTTTGTGTGCATTCTGTTGTAAGTTCTCATTCTGCTAGAGTATCTTTTGCTTGCTTTACACTAGGTCTGTCTAGCGATTAAAAAAATTAATCGCGATTAATTGCATGATTAATCACACTGTTAAACAATAATAGAATACCATTAATTTAAATATTTTTGATGTTTTCTACATTTTCAAATATATTGAGTAATTATAACAGAATACAAAGTATACAGTGCTCACTTTATATTTATTTTTTATTACAAATATTTGCACTGTAAAAAAACAAAAAATAGTATTTTCAATTCACCTAATACAAGTGTAGTAATCTCTTTATCATGAAAGTTGAACTTACAAATGTAGAATTATGTACAAAAAATAACTGCATTCAAAAATAAAACAATGTAAAACTTTAGAGTCTACAAGTCCACTCAGTCCTATTTCTTGATCAGACAGTCGCTCAGACAAACAAGTTTGTTTACATGTGCAGGAGATAATGCTGCCCGCTTCTTGTTCGCAATGTCACATGAAAGTGAGAATAGTTGTTCTCATGGCACCGTTGTAGCTGGCATGGCAAGATATTTACATGCCAGATGCGCTAAAGATTCATATATCCCTTCATGCTTCAAGCACCATTCCAGAGTACATGCGTTCACGCTGATGATGAGTTCTGCTTGATAAGAATCCAAAGCAGTGCAGACCAACTCATGTTCATTTTCATCATCTGAGTCAGATGCCACCAGCAAATTTTCTTTTTTGGTGATTCAGGTTCTGTAGTGTCTGATCCAGTAGCATTCTCAGAGCACACCTAAACCCATGAGGAGGATGAGGAGGTGATGGTTTCTCAGGGAGCTGTATGCCTGCGGAGAACTCTGCTACTACACCCGTCCCTTCCCTTCCCAGTTTTGGAACACCTCCTGCCCAAAATACCATCTTCCATGCCTTGGCAGTGCAAAGTGTGTGTGTGTGTGTGTGAGAGAGATGACACATGAGCTAACAGTTCCTTTGATGCTTCCTGCCAGCAGAGAGTTCTCCTGCATAGGAGGACTTCTTCACTGGCTGTTTCCAGACTCTTTAAGCCCGCTTTGTGCTACATAATTTTGCACTGCTTATGTTGTACAAAGTTAATTGAAGATTCTGCTCCCTTGTTGTTCTTCCCTCTTTTATAAGTGTGCACAGGTGTAATGTTTGTAGGTCTTATATTCCTTTTCTAAGCCTCTTGGTAAATAAATGAAAGACTGACTCTTTAAAAAGAAAATTCTTTGCAATTTGCCTTTCATACTTTTGAGATAAATAGCTGTGTGAAAAGTCTACCTAAGGGAAACTTTAATATTGGGCCTTCGATTTGAAACTTTATAAAGATGCTCATATTCCTTCCTCAAGGGATTTCAAGTGCTGTATATGTATGTATAAAAAGCTGTATACGTATATGTAAAATATTATTAAAATACAATAAAAGCATCTAGTTCAGAACATTTATTTTTTCAAGAAATGGTAATGTCAAAATAATTTTTAAAAAAGCTTTTAAAAGAAAGTGAAATTACTAGATTTTCTGTTTTAATTTATAGACTATATAAATGGAGGAGAACTTTTTACTCACCTTTCTCAAAGAGAGAGATTTACAGAAAATGACGTGCAGATATACATTGGAGAAATTGTACTGGCTCTTGAACACCTGCACAAGGTAAGACAGTTTTTTCCATTAATGCTTTCTTGTGAGTTACATCTTCATGATTATATACAAAATAAAAAGGACTTAATTTTTTTGTTTAAAAATATAGCGCATGATTATATACACCAATTTTAAATATTAATTATTTAATGAATTATAAATACATGTCCTTTTATTAGGTATTCATCTGTAGTATCTGTGCACAGGTTAAGACTATAGTCTACTCTCTGCCTCTGGAGTCAGTATTTGTTATTTTGCCAATTGGTTGTTGCTTTCTGAATATCTCCATTTCCAATAGCATCTTCTTTTCACACATGAAATGTCATTGTGACTCTCATTTTCTTTCAGCATAAAGAACAGAGATGAGAGAGAGAACTGCAGTCAGTTTTTATAACTTTGTCCTTTCATTAAAATTATAGGTTAAAATTTTCAAATCTGTGGCCTAAAATTAGACACCTAGTTTCCTATTTAGGCACCTAAGAGCGGCATAGTTTACAAAGATGTCCCATTGAATTTACTGGGATTTGCGAGTCATAGACTTAACGGCCAGAAGAGACTGCCAGATTGTTTAGTCTGACCTTGTGTATATCACAGGACACCAACGCTACCCAGCACCTGCACACTAAACCCAACAACCAAAATTAGACCAAAGTATTACAGCCCACAGAAGACTAGACTGTTATGTGCCACAGGCAGGGAATGGAATGGAGAAAGGTGCACCAGTGCTTGAGGGCTCCGGAAAGTCAGGGAAATGATTAAGCAAGATATACCCAGATCATCCTGGCAAATAACCTGCACCCACATCTTGAAGAGGAAACGGGGGGGGGGGGGGAACCAAGATCACTGTCCATATGATCTGGGGGAAAAGTCCTTCCCCAACCCATATGTGGGAATCAGTGAGACCCTGAACATATGAGCAAGAACCAGCCAGCCACGCACCTGAGAGAGAGAATGTTTGGTGCCACCACAGAGCCTTGTACCTCCCTATCTAATGTCCCATCTTCAGCTGTGTCCATACTGATATTTCAGAGGAAAGAGATAAACAACCACCACCACCACCAAAAACCAGAATTCATTGTGGGGGAGGGAAATCCCTTCCTGATTCCTCCAGGTGTCTGGCTGAAACCCTGAAGCATAAGCTTTTTAAGAACATATGGCATAAACCAGAAGTGAGATCCAGGGCTGATGAGCCCTGCCTCCTACCCATCGTAAGCTACCCCCCTCATACAATCACACTCATAAATTTGTTTAGTTGTCTTAAAGTTAATTAAGTTGTTTACCCCTACGACTCCTATTGGGAGGCTATTCCAGAAACTCACCCCTCTGATGGTTGGAAACCACCTAATTTCCCATCCTGAATTTGTTCATGACCAGTTTATATCCATTTGCTCTTGTGCCAACATTGCCCTTGAGCTTAAATACTTTTCACCCTCCCTTGTATTTACCATCTAATGTATTTATAAAGAGCTGTCATATCCCCTCTCAGCCTTCTTTTTGATAGACTAAACAAACCAAACTCTTCAATCTCCTATCAAAAGATAGGCCCTCCATTCCTCTGGTCATCCTAGCAGCTCCTCTCTGCACCTGTTTCGGTTTAAATTAATCTTTTCTTGAACACAGGTGACCAGAACTGTACACAGTATTCCAAATGAGGTCTTATCAGTACTTTGTATGATGGCATTAATTCTTCTCTATATCTACTAGAGATGCCTTGCGTGAAACATACTAAGATCAGCTTTGCCTTTTTCACAACTGCATTTCACAGCTGAATTATGAAGTGGCTCATAGTTATATTGTGACTGACATTCGTAGTTAGGTCTCTCTTCTTTGTCACTTCAAGCTGATGAGGTGCCAGCAAAAATTCTTATTAGATCCTAACTACAACAATCTTGCACTTTCTACTATTGAGTTTCATCCCATTTCTGCCACTCCAGTCTTCAAGAACATCCAGGTCCCCGTGCATAATATTCCTGTTCTCCTCTGTATTAACAATGCCTCCCAACGTTGTATCATCAGCAAATTTCGTTAGCACACTTCTACTTTTTGTGCCAAGGTCATGAATAAGATTGGTCTCAAGACTGATATTTGAGGAATTCCACAAGTAACCTCCTTTCAGTCTGATAATTCATCTTTCAGGATAACCTGTTGCTTTCTCCCATTTAGCCAGTTCCTTATCTACCTGACAATTCTTGTGCTGATCCCCATTTTCCCTAATTAAACTAATAATTTCCCATGTGATACCACATTAAATGATGTGTTGAAGTTCAAGTACTGAATATTAGATCTACTGCGTTTCCATTATCTAAAAAAATCAGTTATTTTTCTCAAAGTAGTAAATCAGGTTAGTTTGGCATGATCTATGTTTGGTAAACCTGTGAGGCATTGTATTCTCTTTACCATTTATTTCCGTTAATTTAATTATTCTTTTCTCCACAATTTGTTTTAAAGCCTGACATACTCCTAAGGTTAATTTAACAGGTCTGTAATTGTCCAAATCACTTAAAAAAAAAAAAGTATGACATTAACTATTCTCCAGTCATATGGTACTCCTCCCCCCCCCCGAATAGATAGATTTATGAAAAATCTTTGCTACTAGATTAGCAATCTCATGTGCCAGTTCTTTGTGTTCTGCGATGGAAATTATCCAGTCCCTTCTATTTGAGCGCATTAAGCACTTCAAGGTTTTTTTTCCATCTCAGATGTGGTAATTTCCAGTTCTAGACCCTAATTTCCATCAGCCATGCTGCCTTCATGCACATGTTTCATATGTTCATCCTTATTGAAAACCAAGGCAAAATATTCATTGTGGGGACTCAGAACTTCTAAAAATCAGGCCACTTTTATTTAGATTTTAAATATAAATTTAGGAGCCTCTGAATGAGCTCCCTCTTCAGCTCCTGGAAACCATGGCTGGTAAGCCCTCTTTGTGAACTAAGCAGCATGCTTAATTCCAGCAGGTACCTCAACCAGGTGTCTTTATTGCTGTTCATGCTGCAGATACATCACAACATAGCCACATTTATGTAGAACCCCTTTCCTGCTCTCTGGCTTAGCCTTTTATATGGCTGGCTTTCTTCTGAGAGCTATCAAGCTGGTGAGCTAATTACCTTCATAAGGCTCCCTACAGGTACAAGTTGAATTTTCTACTCTTCCAACTCCAAACTACCTAAGTCCCTCCTACTCTTAACTACACCTGGTGACCTGGGTGTTCTAAGTGACCAGTTAGCTTACAGCTACTAACAGTGCCCTGTAACAGAGCCTAGCTCTAGACAGCCAAGTTTGAAAATTTTGATATTAGTGAACAATATATATGTTCATGGTCTTCAGTAAAACAGCCCACCTGCTCTTCCCAGCAGAGAGGCTATAATAACAATGTTTGCACTTTCAGCTCCTTATTTTGGCTATGTGATAGAGAAGAGGCTAAGACTGTAGTTTTTTTTGTACATGTAGAGTTTAGAGTCAGAGAGCTTGAGTCCAGAAGGGACCACCAGATCATCTAGTCTGCCCTCCTGTACATCACAGTCCACCACAACCCAACAACCGAAATTAGATCACAGTGTTACAGCCCAGAGAAGACTAGACTATTATGTGCCACAGGCAGAGGCTAGGAGAGACTGAGGTGCACCAGTGCTTTAGGCTTCTGCAATGGTTTGTAAGTGATTAAGCAAGCAAGTGACACACATACACACACTAGCAGTGATCTTGGGGGGGGGGGTTTCGACTTCCTTTGCAATCTGACCTAGTGGAAGATTCCTTCCCAGCCCCACATACGGCAGTCAGTTAGACCCTGAGCATTTGAACAAGAATCAGCCAGCCCAAGTACCTGAGAGAGAGTGTGCTCAGTGCCTCCTTGGGGCCCTGGCCTATCCTGCTTACTGTCCCATCTCCAGTCATGGTCATCTCTGATACTTCAGAAGAAGATTTAAAAAAACAAAAACAAAAAACCCAAACCTCCAAGAATACATTGGGGGAGAGGGGGAATCCCTTCCTGATCCCTACAGGTGTCCTGCTGAAACTCTGAAGCATCACCTTTAGGAACGGAAGACATAGTAATACTAATAGTGTGGTCTCTGATGAATTGTTGTTTTAATGATGCAAAGAGAATGGAAATTTATGTGAGCAAAATTGCCGTGCAGCCTGCTGTAGCATAACTGGCTTCTGCATTGTGTTTATAGAATCTTACGTAATCTGCAGAGACCAGCCAGGAACCTATATTCTTATGAATATAGGTGCTGATGGTTCCATTATTAAGGTTGAATTCAGTTTTGCACTTAAAAGTAGGGATTCAGCCACTTTCTTATATATGAAGAATACGGTTTATACTACCCTAAATTACAACACTTATTTAGTACAGAATGTTGTTTCTGATAATCTACAAGTAAGTAATTTAATTAGTTTACAAGTTAAATTTATAATGGGTCCTTTAAGAATCTTAGCTTTGGGGATTTTTGGGGTCCTGAATAGTCTTAATCATGGAGTAACATACTCTTGAAACCTCTCATATAGTTAAAATGTTGAAATCTCATGCATTGCCTACATTTTGAAGAAATGTATGTAGGAGTAAGTCATTTCTTGTTGTTTATTTTTTTAATAACTGAAAGATTTTTCTTCAGGAGAGGCTGAAAAACAATATTCTTCTACAGAGAATTCCATGAAGATCTGTGTCACAGTTACCTTCTTAACTGCACCTGGAACCCCTTTCTAGTATCTCCAAGTGCACAGCCCTCTCAGATGAGAGGCATCCTGCTTACACCTCTATCTGGGTGGAATCTCACACTTCTCTGACTTGTAGACCAGGGACCTGGTCTACATCTCTTGCATACTTCCCTTGTTCACTCAGCAGGCCCAATTTACTGAGCCCTGCAGGTCTTTCTTTCAGGGCTTTGACGAGCAGTTACTATACAGTGACCTTCTCAAAAACAATGTATTGCTTATCTTTAACAGTAGGAACACAGCTCTGCATAAGAGAGAGAGAGAATTTGAGCACACTAAATAGTCCAAATGCCTGGCTAGACTACCATTCTCCTGATAGTAGCCAGATAGCACAACTTAGACCCTCCCACAGAATCTCTCTCTCTTTTGGACTGCTCCGTGTAAGCATCCCCGACAACTCACATCTCTTTCTCAGTAGAGAGTCACTTTAACTGTTCAGTGTCCTTTTGATCTTTAGGTTCCAGCCTTGGCAGAACAGCAATGTAACTCTTGGCTGGAGCCTGTAAGTGGAATATTTACAGTTAATTGCTCAGCCTTCTTGTGCTGTTTTGTAGCTTATTTGCACACATTATCTAGTGTTCCTGACTGTTTTTTGAACAGCCTAGTATTAAAACGAACTAACCTATGTGTTCAGTTCACATTAACCCAATATAGCTACTAAGTACCTATTTCATTCAACAATCATATAAAACATACAGTATTCATGGATTAACACAAATTAGCCCTATGTCTTTCACAATCCATCCTCTTTCAAAATGGGGGTTGCCATCTCTTACTATTCTCAGTGGGTGTGAAGGTGCGGGTTGCTGTCCGAGAGATGCTCTTTTTCAAATGTTTACTGCCTGCCATTGTTTCCGTTGAGGGTGAAGCCAAGATGGCCCTCAGGGAGGATGGTGACTACTAACTCTCAGAGCCACTATTCTTCCTGATGGCAGCTTGACTTCATGCTGGTTGGGGACAGTGGCTATTTTGAAACAAGGGATCTTTGCTAATAGTAACTTGTAGCTTCACACCCATTGAGAATAGTAAGAGATGGCAGAATTCATGGAATTCTCAGTAAAAGAACATTAATTTTCAGCCTCTGCTGAAGAAAAAATAAATAGCACTATTAATCCTAAATGCTTATTTTCAAAATCTCTTCTTTGGACTGGATCACTCACCTTCTGTGAACTTATCACAAGGGGGAAATGCTGGGATGCTGTGCAAGGGAATTTGTGGCACAGGGTAGACAAAGGAAACTGGTGTGTGTAAGTAAAAGCAGGGGAATGTGGAGGTTAGGAGATGGTGGGGCATGGGAGCTGGCCAATACACTCTGGATGCTTTGCGTTTCTCCTCAGTGGATGAAGCACCCAGAGCATATTGGTCAATCTAAAAGCCAAAATCATTAGATTGCATGGTAATGTTTTCTCTACCTTTCTTGTTTAGTGACCATGTACAAAAATTTTAATTGAAAAAATAAAAAGGAAATTCCCAGGCTAAAAACTTGAATTGAAGTGAAGAGTGCATGGCAGCAATTTTAAGTAATTTAAGTAATTTTGTTTTAAAACAAAAAGAATGCTGTAATGATCCCCAAAAGAACTATTACAAACCAAGGAAATTCAGAGTTAAGCTTTAAATTGAAAAGAAGTCTAGAGGTGTTAAGCTGTGGTATTGCACAGTTAAGCATCCAAATAATCCATTACTCTGCCCTGTAATGATACCATGAACAAAAATAAAAATCAAATCTCTCTTAAAAATCAGTTTATTATAATCTGGGACTGCAACCCCTATTATGGATTTATCATATTTGTATGCTATAATGTCACTACAGGGTGGAGTTTAGGTTTGGGTTCCATAACTGTATTTCTATACCTTAACATATTTGGATTCCTTTTAAATTTGACCATAACTCTGAATTTTACTGGGTTTGTGGTGATTATTTTTGGAATAATTAAAACATTTTTGTAACATATTTTACCCTTAAATTACTGATAAATTTAGTGAAGGTTGAGAGAATTTAACACTTTTGTGTCTGGGATTTTTAATCACTTTTTTGCTAGATCCAAATTTAGAAACATTCTTTAACATATCTGTTGGTATTTTCAAATCAATGTTATATTACTGTTTTTATGTTTATTTGCAGTTGGGGATTATATATCGAGATATAAAACTTGAAAATATTCTACTTGATTCTAATGGCCACGTTGTGCTGACAGACTTTGGTCTGAGTAAGGAGTTTCTTACAGATGAAGTGAGTATTTGAATATTCAGTGATTGTGGACACAATCCAGAAAGAATTTGGTTAGAAGAAAATAATTGTTTTCTATCCTATTGCTTTATTAAGGGGAACAGCTGAAACAATCTTAAACAAATAACATTCCCAAAAATTAGGCTTATATTTAACTATATTAAAACAGAAATTTATCAGATGCGAGCCAGAGTATACATTTTCTAATAAAATATAGTTTAATAATTTGGCATTATACTGGTTAATTTACATCTCATGGAAGCACTGAACAAGACCTTTTTTTAAAATTTATTTCAGAAGTTTCCTTTTTCTAGTGTAGTACGTTCTTGATTTCCTTGTATAGCACTTGTCTTGAACTCCAAATCTGAATCTACAAATGTAAACCTGACTTGTGATTTTTCCAAAAAATGCTAGAACCTTGAAGGATAAGGGGTGAACAGTGTTGCTTGGCCTAATCACATGTGCTTTCATAATTATCAAGGCACAGCATTACCTTATGTTGCCCACAAAAGTAAATGGCTATCAACAAAGAATGGTACAATGACCTGTGGAAACAGCTCAGATTGAACACAACCAAAACAAATACCTTGTGTGTAGAATAAAATGAAAACAATTTGCTCCCAAGAAGAGAGAGGGGTTGTTTTTTACACACTGTATATTATGAAAAGAGATTTTTTTTTAATAGAGGTCAGCATAGCTTCATGAATATGGGAGCCAGAGGGTGTGATATAACATCAAGTTTAGCCAAATTGCGAAGACCTTTATAAAAATGTATCAATGTATTTTACCTATATTTTTTAGAGCATTAGTAATACACCAGACAGAGATCATATAAATCATATATTGGAGAATGTCCTGTAGCAGCTAATTGGTTACACTTTATTTTAAGTCTAGATGACATTTTTTTTTAAATACCAAAGATTGTTTCATGTGCTTATGTTAAATCTGCCCCACAAATTCATTATATTGTAGTTCTTGCCTAGGAGGTAGTGAATAGTCTCAAGGGTTCTGTGTTAATTCTCTGTATGATGGAAGGTGATTTGTCTATGCAGTTCTGAATTGTTTGAATGATAGCTGTGGGTCACCAGCTGTTAGTTATATATAGCCCTTATTCACTGTAATCATTTGATATCAATATGTGTGTCTTTTTTAGAATGAGAGAGCATATTCCTTTTGCGGAACTATAGAATACATGGCTCCAGATATTGTCAGAGGAGGAGACACAGGGCATGACAAGGTGTGTTTCATCCCAGCTTTCTTTTGTCATTGCCTGTTTACATTTCTGATTAAAATGAATCCTACTGTGTAGTTTTTTATGTGATTATTTGCCTGCCCTCCAAAACTTCCTAACCCCATTTCACAACTCAAGCTTTCCCAACTAAGGTCCAGAAAGAAGTGAGAATCAGACGTGTTGAAAGTCTCTGGGTGAAGATAAAAAGAGGAAAAGGTGGGGAAGTGGTAGGATATCTACTGTAGACCACCAAATGAGGATGAGACATTTCTAGAACAAATAACAGAAGCAGCCAAAACACGAACCATGGTAGTAATGGGGGACTTTAACTTCCCAGATACTTGTTGGAAAAATAATTCAGGAAAACAGACTGTCAACAAGTTCTTGGAATGTATTTGGGACAACCTTTTATTTCAGAAGATGGAGGAGGTAACAAGAGGAGCAGTTATTTTAGATTTGATTCTGATTAACAGAGAGGAAGTGGTCATGAATCCAAAAGCAAAAGGCAACTTCAGTGAAGATCACAAAATGATAGAATTTATAATTCTAAGGAAAAGGAATGAGAGCAGCAGAATAAGGACAATGGACTTCACAAAAGCAGATTTTGACAAACTTGAAGAACTGTTATGTATGGTACCTTTTGAAAAGAGAGTGTAAGGCAAATGGAAGTAGTACAGGATAGCTGGCAGTTTCTCTGAGACAATATTAGAAATAAAACAGCAAACTAAATCGTGAGGCAGAAGAAAAATGGGAAGACTAATAAGAGGCCAATATGATTGTTTCAGGAGTTCTTTAATAATGTGAAAATCAAAAAGGAATTGTACAAAATGGAAACAAGGAAAAAATTGCTAAGGATGAGTGTGAAAGAATAGCACAAACAAGCAGGAACAAAATCAGAAAGACTAAGGGCTGGTCCACACTAATCCTCCACTTCGAACTAAGATATGCAACTTCAGCTATGTGAATAACGTGGCTGAAGTCGAAGTATCTTAGTTCGAACTTACCGCGGGTCCACACACGGCAGGCAGGCTCCCCAGTCGACTCTGCGTACTCCTCTCGCGGAGCAGGAGTACCGGCGTTGACGGCGAGCACTTCCGGGATCAATTTATCGCGTCTAGACAAGATGCGATAAATCGATCCCAGAAGATCGATTGCTTACCGCCGGACCCGGCGGTAAGTATAGACATACCCTAAGCCCTGGTCTATACGTGGGGGGGGGGGGAGGGGGAGAGGGAATTGATCTAAGTTACGCAACTTCAGCTATGTGCATAGCGTTGTGCATGATGTTGACGTACTTAGATCTACTTACCGTGGTGTCTTCACTGCAGTAAGTCGACGGCTGACACTCTCCCATTGACTCTGCCTGCGCCTCTCGCCCTGGTGGAGTACCGGAGTCAACAGGAGAGTGCTCGGCGGTTGATTGATTTATTGTGTCTAGACTAGACACGATAAATCAACACTCCTCTCCCCCACCCCCCGGATCGCTGCCTGTCGATCCAGCGGATAATGTAGACAAGCCCTAAGGTGCAAAATGAGGTACACCTAATGAAAGACAAAAGGCAGTAAGAAGAGGTTCTATAAATTCATTGGGGCAAGAGAAACATAAAGGAAAGTGTAGGTCCATTACTTACTAGGGAAGAAAAGCTTATAACAGACGACACAAAGAAGACACAAATGTTTAATGCCTATTTTGCTTCAGTCTTCACTAAAACAATTCACTAGATGCGTCACCCAATATAACAACAAGGAGGAAGGAACACAGGACAGAATAGGGAATTAGGTTGAAGAATATTGAGGTAAGTTAAATATTGTATTCAAGTTGTCAGGGCCTGATGAAATTCATCCTAGAGTACTTAAGGAACTAGCCAAAGCAATCATTTTCAAGAACTCATGGAGAATGGGGAAGGTCCCAAAGGATTAGAGAAGGGGGAACGTGATACCTATCTTCAAAAAGGAGAACAAAGAGGACCCGGGAAATTATAGACTTATCAGCCTAATTTACATACCTGGAAAGATACTGTAACAAATTATAAAATAAACAATTTCTAAGCACCTAGCAGATAATAGTATGATAAATAATAGGCAACATGGATTTTGCAAGAATAAATCATGCCAAACCAATTAATTTCCTTCTTTGACAGGGTAACTGTCCTAGTGGATAGTGGGGAAGCAGTAGACCTTAATAAGGTTTTTGACACAGTCCCACATGACATTCTCATAAGCAAACTAGGAAAATGTAGTCTAGATGAAATGACTAGACGGTGGATGCAGGACTGATTTGAAAAAGTGTACTCAGAGTAGTTCTCAATGGTGATTCTTCGAATGAAAGTCCCTATGTGTATTCCACAGGTGGGTTTGCATTGGCTCCATGTGCCCAAGTCCAGAAATTCTTCAAAGGATTGTCCGTTGACCTGCACATTTATGGTAGACCCTCATGCTTCAGACCCACGGTGTAAAAGGCAGTGTGGGTCAACGCCTCTCTAGTTACTTCTTACCACCATATGGCCTGAGTCGGAATAGTGTCCTGCTTCACTCTGTGTATAAACTATAACACATAATATTTGTAAATAGTTTTTCTGTATTTGTTTAAGAAGTTTGTTGTTATAGTATAGTATAGAGTCATTTCCCAACCCACTGTCTGGTCTAGGATTATGCCCAGAATCCCGAGCTTCAAGAATTGTGTCTTCTGCAGTCACTCCTTCTGCATCAGTGATAAGTATCAACGGTGCTTCTACTGTATGGGTGAAGCACATATCTCTGCACAGAGCAGTATCTGTAGATCCTTTTCCACCTAGAACTCGAGAGGCCCAGGAGCTCCAACTTAGCCTCCTCTATCAGGAACTTTGTATGAGGTCCTGCTCTGATCTGGGCCTGAGAGACCCCCCTGTACATTGGCCTCCACCAACCAGCAGTGCCTCTCCAAAATATGCCTTAGAGCGGAGTCATTAACCCCAAAGCCAAAGGACTCTTTCTCCAGGCCTCCTCTTGAGAGTAGAGAGCACTCTCAGGGTGCAAGGACAGAAGACGGTCCATAAGAAATGCATTCTGTTCCTGAGCTGGTCCAGTACGGGTGAGACACTGTGTTTGGAACCATGGAACTGGCTCCACTAAGACCCCTAGGTTGGAGGGCAAGGCATGCAAAAAGAAGGATCAGTCAGTTCCGACTGACTGTGGTACCAAAACGGAAGGACAGATGCTCACCAGTTCCTTATACATGTGTGGGTCTGGACTCATTGTTGGTATCACCCTGTTCATCTAAAGACTGTTCAGCTGCAACAGATGAGTCAGATCCTTCAGGCATATCTGCTGAAACTCCCTGGGCCATACAGATTTATGTAACACCAGAGGATATTTTCCTCCCCTGCCACAGTCTCCACTGCTTTCTGGCCCTGATCTTGTGAGGGATGTCCTCGTTCTGGAGAAAGAATCTTTACTAATGTCTCAGAATTCAGCAGTTCCATCTCCAACCATTGGGCAGGAGTGTTCCAGTATCAATGGCATTTCTGCTACCAACAGAACAGTCCTCAGAATTGGAAGAGGAGATAGCTGCATCAGTATTTCCACAGAAGGACAGGAGACCTGACAGACAGTTGAGAGGCTATACTTACCATCCCTCCAGTATGACCCCCTTCGCCCCCAGCACCACTGGTACCAATTCCTCTGGGAGCCATTGTGACTGATGGATCCCTCCTTCTGGCCTTATTGGGGACCACAGGATTCCTGTGGCAGGAGTCTGAACCCCTCTCATGAGTTGTACCACTTCTTGCCAGCCAGTTCCATTTGTGTATGAGGAGGAGGAGCCAGAACCAGTTCTGCTGATTTGATAGGAGCTTTGTGATAGAACACTGAGCAACAACAGTTGAGCCAGCACTCTGGTCACTGCAGCTTCAGTTAAACACTCCAGAAGAGACCTTATTAAGAACTGTGTCTGACTGATGGGTGGAGAAGACCTGGAAGGCTAATTAAGCTATTAGGCAGAGGATACAAAAAGGCACAGGACAGAAGTGAGGGGGAGGAGCAGACAGGAGCTGAGGGCTCCCTAAAACTGTAGGAGTTAAGACTGTATAGTGTACAAGGGTGGTGGGAATCAACATTATAAATAAGTTGCACTGGCTGTTTTACTAGCATAAAGGTCTCTGTGCTGTTTTTGGACTTGAGCAGAGGCCCTGCCACAGGCTGCTGCTTCATCATCTCCGGACAATGCTGTCACTTAGTCATTGCCTTCTCCACCAGATGACAGTCAGTACTGGGAGCTGTTACGTAGGGTTGCAAACGATCTACAGATCCCAGTAAATTAGTTCAGGATCCTCAATACTGGTACCTAGCCTTTTTGCAACCAAAGGGACTGAGTAAGGTGGCCTTTCCAATTAATGAGGCTATACTAGAGCCAGCCAGAGAGGTATGGCACACACCAGCATCTTGTGTCCCTACACCAAAAAAGATTGAAATGTGATTTTGTTTCTGCCAAAGAAACTGACTTTTTGTTTTCTCATCCTGCCCTCAACTCATTGATTGTACAGGCAGTCCTGGAAAGAGTTGAGTCGCACTACCAGAAATCCATCCTGGCAGCAGAGACTGGACTTTCTGGGAAGGAAGATCTGCAATTTCATATGGCTAACTACCAAGCATTGTTAGTGAAATACGATTTTAACAGCTATGCCAGGCTTGCAGACTTTAAAGATAAACTTCCCATAGAGGACAGAACCCAGTTCCAGTCCCTTCTAGGCAGTGGCGTAGCCAGCTTCTAAGAGGAGGGGGAGCAAACATAAAAAAGTGCCCCCCCCTTGGCTCCTCCTCTGGCCATGCCCCCCTTGGCTCCTCCTTCGGTTGCTCCACGCTCCCCCCCCTTGGCTCCTCCTCCGGCCGCACCGCCCCTCCCCCCAGCTCCTCCGGCCCTGCCGTGCCACCCCCGTGGCCTCCCCCTCACTCCTCCAGCCGCGGCTGCCAGCCGCCATGCTGCGCCACCCCCGCTCCTCCAGCCATGCCCGCTACCCCCCATGGCTGCCAGTCTGCGCTCCCCCTCGCTCCTCTGGCTGCGGCATGTGGCCGGCAG